CTGCCCACTGCACTGAGGCTAGGAAACACTATCACCACCGATAAATCTACAATAATCGAGAATTTCAACAAGCATTTTGCTACAGCTGGCCATGCTTTCCATCTGGCTACCACTAACCCGGCCACCAACTCTGCACCCTCTGCTGCAACTTGCCCATGCCCCCCCCCGCTTCTCCTTCACACAAATTCAGACAGCTGATGTTTTGAAAGCGCTGCAAAATCTGGACCCCTACAAATCAGCTGGGCTAGACAATCTGGACCCTTTCTTCCTAAAACTAGCCGCCGAAATTGTCGCAACCCCTATTACTAGTCTGTTCAACCTCTCTTTCATAACGTCTGAGATCCCCAGAGATTGGAAAGCTGCCGCGGTCATCCCCCTCTTCAAAGGGGGTGACACTCTAGATCCAAACTGCTACAGACCTATATCCATCCTGCCCTGCCTTTCGAAAGTATTCGAAAGCCAAGTTAATAAACAGATCATCGACCATTTCGAATACCACCGTACCTTCTCCGCTATGCAATCTGGTTTCCGAGCTGGTCACGGGTGCACTTCAGCCACGCTCAAGGTCCTAAACGATATTATAACCGCGATTGATAATAGACAGTACTGTGCAGCCGTCTTCATCGACCTGGCCAAGGCTTTCGACTCTGTCAACCACCGCATTCTTATTGGCAGACTAAATAGCCTTGGTTTCTCAAATGACTGCCTCGCCTGGTTCACCAACTACTTCTCAGATAGAGTTCAGTGTGTCAAATCGGAGGGCCTGTTGTCTGGACCTATGGCAGTCTCTATGGGGGTGCCACAGGGTTCAATTCTTGGGCCGACACTTTTCTCCGTGTATATCAATGATGTCGCTCTTGCTGCTGGTGACTCTCAGATCCACCTCTACGCAGACGACACCATTTTGTATACATCTGGCCCTTCATTGGACACTGTGTTAACAAACCTCCAAACGAGCTTCAATGCCATACAACAATCCTTCAGTAGCCTTCAACTGCTCTTAAACACTAGTAAAACTAAATGCATGCTTTTCAATCGAACGCTGCTAGCACCCGCCCACCCGACTAGAATCACCACTCTCGACGGGTCTGACCTAGAGTATGTGGACAACTACAAATACCTAGGTGTCTGGTTAGACTGTAAACTCAACTTCCAGACTCACATAAAGAATCTCCAATCCAAAGTTAAATCTAGAATCGGCTTCCTATTTCGCAACAAAGCCTCCTTCACTCATGCTGCCAAACATGCCCTCGTAAAACTGACTATCCTACCGATCCTTGACTTCGGCGATGTCATTTATAAAATAGCCTCCAACACTCTACTCAGCAAATTGGATGTAGTCTATCACAGTGCCATCCGTTTTGTCTCCAAAGCCCCATACACTACCCACCACTGTGACCTGTACGCTCTTGTTGGCTGGTCCTCACTACATGTTCGTCGTCAAACCCACTGGCTCCAGGCCATCTATAAATCACTGCTAGGCAAATCCCCGCCTTATCTTAGCTCATTGGTCACCATAGCAGCACCCACCCGTAGTCTGCGCTCCAGCAGGTATATCTCACTGGTCATTCCCAAAGCCAACACCTCCTTTGGCCGCCATTCCTTCCAGTTCTCTGCTGCCAATGACTGGAACGAATTGCAAAAATCTCTGAAGCTGGAGACTCTTATCTCCCTCAATAACTTTAAGCATCAGTTGTCAGAGCACCTTACCGATCACTGCACCTGTACACAGCCCATCTGAAATTAGCCCACCCAACTACCTCATCCCTATATTGTTATTTAATTTGCTCTTTTGCAGTCCAGTATCTCTATTTGCACATAATCTCTTGCACATCTAGCATTCCAGTGTTAATACTATTGTAATTATTCTGCACTATAGCCTATTTATTGCCTTACCTCCATAACTTGCTACATTTGCACACACTGTATATATATTTTCTGTTGTATCTCTGACTTTATGTTTTTTTTACCCCATATGTAACTCTGTGTTGTTTTTGTTGCACTACTTTGCTTTGTCTTGGCCAGGTCGCAGTTGTAAATGAGAACCTGTTCTCAACTGGCTTACCTGGTTAAATAAAGGTGAAATAAAAAAAATAAAAAAAACCTGAAAGGCCACTCAGCAAGGAAGAAGCCACTGCTCCAAAACAGCCATAAAAAAGCCAGACTACGGTTTGCAACTGCACATGGGGACAAATATCGTACTTTTTGGAGAAATGTCCTCTGGTCTGATGAAACAAAAATAGAACTGTTTGGCCATAATGACCATCGTTATGTTTGGGGGAAAAAGGGGGATGCTTGCAAGCCGAAGAACACCATCCCAACCATGAAGCACGGGGGTGGCAGCATCATGCTGTGGGGTTGCTTTGCTGCAGGAGGGACTGGTGCACTTCACAAAATAGATGGCATCATGAGGAAGGAAAATTATGTGAATACATTGAAGCAACATCTCAAGACCTCAGTCAGGAAGTTAAAGATTGGTCGCAAATGGGTCTTCCAAATGGACAATGACCCCAAGCATACTTCCAAAGTTGTGGCAAAATGGCTTAAGGACAACAAAGTCAAGGTGTTGGAGTGGCCATCACAAAGCCCTGGCCTCAATCCTATAGAAAATGTGTGGGCAGAACTGAAAAAGCATGTGCGAGCAAGGAGGCCTACAAACCAGACTCAGTTACACCAGCTCTTTCACTGTACATGAAATGAGTTTGAATAGGAAATATAGCAAAATGCATAGGAAATGTAGTCATTGACAAGGTTAGAAATAATGATTTTTAATAGAAATAATAATTGTGTCGTTCAAACTTAGCTTTCGTCAAAGAATCCTCAATTTGCAGCAATTACAGCCTTGCAGACCTTTGGCATTCTAGTTGTCAATTTGTTGAGGTAATCTGAAGAGTCTTCCTGAAGCACCTCCCACAAGTTGAATTGGCTTGATGGGCACTTCTTACGTACCATACGGTCATGCTGCTCCCACAACAGCTCAATTGGGTTGAGGTCCGGTGACTGTGCTGGCCACTCCATTATAGACAGAATACCAGCTGACTGCTTCTTCCCTAAATAGTTCTTGCATAGTTTGGAGCTGTGCTTTGGGTCATTGTCCTGTTGTAGGAGGAAATTGGCTCCAATCAAGCGCCGTCCACAGGGTATGGCATGGCGTTGCAAAATGGAGTGATAGCCTTCCTTCTTCAAGATCCCCTTTACCCTGTACAAATCTCCCACTTTACCACCACCAAAGCACCCCCAGACCATCACATTGCCTCCACCATGCTTGACAGATGGCATCAAGCACTCCTCCAGCATCTTTTCATTTGGTCTGCGTCTCACAAATGTTCTTCTTTGTGATCCGAACACCTCATACTTCAATTCGTCTGTCCATAACACTTTTTTCCAATCTTCCTCTGTCCAGTGTCTGTGTTCTTTTGCCCATCTTAATCTTTTCTTTTTATTGGCCAGTCTGAGATATGGCTTTTTCTTTGCAACTCTGCCTAGAAGGTCAGCATCCCGGAGTCGCCTCTTCACTGTTGACGTTGAGACTGGTGTTTTGCGGGTACTATTTAATGAAGCTGCCAGTTGAGGACCTGTGAGGCGTCTGTTTCTCAAACTAGACACTAATGTATTTGTCCTCTTGCTCAGTTGTGCACCGGGGCCTCCCACTCCTCTTTCTAGTCTGGTTAGAGACAGTTTGCGCTGTTCTGTGAAGGGAGTAGTACACAGCGTTGTACGAGATCTTCAGTTTCTTGGCAATTACTCGCATGGAATAGCCTTCATTTCTCAGAACAAGAATAGACTGACGAGTTTCAGAATAAAGTTATTTGTTTCTGGCCATTTTGAGCCTGTATTCGAACACACAATTGCTGATGCTCCAGATACTCAACTAGTCTCAAGAAGGCCAGTTTTATGGCTTCTTTAATTAGCACAACAGTTTTCAGCTGTGCTAACATAATTGCAAAAGGGTTTTCTAATGGTCAATTAGCCTTTTTAAATGATCAACTTGGATTAGCAAACACAACGTGCCATTGGAACACAGGACTGATGGTTGCTGATAATGGACCTCTGTACGCTTATGTAGATATTCCATTAAAAATCAGCCGTTTCCAGCTACAATAGCCATTTACAACATTAACAATGTCTACACTGTATTTCTGATCAATTTTCTGTTATTTTAATGGACAAAAAATTTGCTTTTATTTCGTAAGCAAGGACATTTCTAAGTGACCCCAAACTTTTTAACGGTAGTGTGTATTTTTAAGAAATTGCCGTGGTGCAATTTAAAAGTAGCCTAAAAACCTGCAACCCTCGACCAATACATTTTCACCTGCAACATAATTTTCAAAGTAGCCCAATTTACAGGGAAACTGCAAACATGGCAACCCTGTTACCTTGCCCAGGGGGACATAGGGTTGGTGGTGGGGGGGGGGGCTCAGAGAACATCAATAATTGGCCAAGTGTCTGTTGAAGACATCCACTCTGACTCTGACCTATTGTATCTGGATGTGTGAGTGACCTGACATGACCTGACCTGAGGCAGGAGGGGAACAGAACAGTCAGTACCTGGCTCAGCTCAGCTCTGTGTGGTTACTAGCTTGACAGCCAGACAGCCTGACTCCTGACAGCCAGACAGCCTGACTCCTGACAGCCAAACAGCCTGACTCCTGACAGCCTGACGCCTGACAGCCTGAGCATAAGATGATGTACTTTTTGTTTTACAATGAGTTAGTCCACTACTTTTCTTGGGTAAGAATAAACCCTATGTTTGGTTTTGTGCCATTCAGATGTTTAGGCCTACTATCTACTACTACTACTACTACCTACTTTCAGGATATGTCTGTAATTAACTAGCTCCAGAGGATCATGTTGTTCTCCTCTTCAGGTTGTTCTACCATGGACACAGAGATGATACCAGATGATCATGTTGTTGTCCTCTACCTCCTCTTCAGGTTGTTCTACCATGGACACAGAGATGATACCAGATGATCATGTTGTTGTCCTCTACCTCCTCTTCAGGTTGTTCTACCATGGACACAGAGATGATACCAAAATTTACTTCAAAAGACGAGGAGATTGACTACTGGAAGGCCTTATCCCTCACGTATAAGAAAAGGTATGTTCATGTCAACTGGTCTAGGCTAATCATAGCTCATTTAACAAAATCCTTGATTAACAAATGATTTATTATATGTGGTCAAACATTGAATTTCAGAAGATCATATTCAACGGTTTGTCATTGTATCTGTTGAACTACTCTCCTCCACATACATTTTCCAGATTGTGCCTAGCTTGAGTTTCAGTATTTCACTTTGATGCGTCCTCTCAGTAATATAATTATCCATGCACAGAAAACCACATGGCTTGCTCTGCTCTCGGCTCTGTTACATAAAGCAAAGCTTATGTTTGCTCATAACGCTGGAAGATTAATAACAAGGTTATGTCATAACAGTCATGTGATCATCTGACACGTGACCTGTTCCTCTATAGGCCTTTGTTAACGTTACCATCGACACAGAAAGCAGTGGATTCATTGGCCTAGATTATGCCTTGTTTGTTTAGGCCTAGTTGTTCTTAGTGCTGGGTTGTAATCATTAGTGCACACCGTAGCAAAACGCGTTGTAACGGAAAACATTTTGCAAGGAAGATTTGCGTTTCTTATTGTACTGGTTCAGGTAGTAGCCTACCTCCCTGTTTCAGTGCGTTTTCTTCCGTTTGGTTACTATTGAATACGTCTCTGGTGTCACTTTTTCAGATATCCTGTATCCAGCAGGGTGTTCTAGAAGAATGAACCTTTATTTTTGTCACAGTCAGACCTATAGACTACTACCCTTCCTTCCTTCCCATAGGCACTGAACAGACTAGAGTAAGATCTTTGTCATAGATGAGACCGCTAAGATCAGTGGAATGGACACACACACATACACACTACTTACAAACAGCATTGTACTGACTGCAATCACTCACCTTTGCAGCAAACAAGTTTAGATCCTCTGTTACATAATGGCAAGACACACACTGCCAAGTTGCATAAACTCTGTTACTCAGTACGATATAGGACTACAGTGTAAACTCTGTTACTAGTTCAGCACGATATAGGACCACAGTGTAAACTCTGCTACTAGTTCATACTGCTAACATGCTGAGTCTCCCTGTTGGTATTAATACTGCTAACATGCTGAGTCTTCCTGTCTGTTGGTATTAATACTGCTAACATGCTGAGTCTCCCTGTCTGTTGGTGTTAATACTGCTAACATGCTGAGTCTCCCTGTCTGTTGGTATTAATATTGCTAACATGCTGAGTCTCCCTGTCTGTTGGTGTTAATACTGCTAACATGCTGAGTCTCCCTGTCTGTTGGTATTAATATTGCTAACATGCTGAGTCTCCCTGTCTGTTGGTATTAATGCTGCTAACATGCTGAGTCTTCCTGTCTGTTGGTATTAATACTGCTAACATGCTGAGTCTCCCTGTCTGTTGGTATTAATACTGCTAACATGCTGAGTCTCCCTGTCTGTTGGTATTAATACTGCTAAAATGCTGAGTCTCCCTGTCTGTTGGTATTAATACTGCTAACATACTGAGTCTCCCTGTCTGTTGGTATTACTACTGCTAACATGCTGAGTCTACCTGTTGGTATTAATACTGCTAACATGCTGAGTCTCCCTGTCTGTTGGTATTACTACTGCTAACATGCTGAGTCTCCCTGTTGGTATTAATGCTGCTAACATGCTGAGTCTTCCTGTCTGTTGGTATTAATACTGCTAACATGCTGAGTCTCCCTGTCTGTTGGTATTAATACTGCTAACATGCTGAGTCTCCCTGTCTGTTGGTATTAATACTGCTAAAATGCTGAGTCTCCCTGTCTGTTGGTATTAATACTGCTAACATACTGAGTCTCCCTGTCTGTTGGTATTACTACTGCTAACATGCTGAGTCTACCTGTTGGTATTAATACTGCTAACATGCTGAGTCTCCCTGTCTGTTGGTATTACTACTGCTAACATGCTGAGTCTCCCTGTTGGTATTAATACTGCTAACATGCTGAGTCTCCCTGTCTGTTGGTATTAATACTGCTAACATGCTGAGTCTCCCTGTCTGTTGGTATAAATACTGCTAACATGCTGAGTCTCCCTGTCTGTTGGTGTTAATACTGCTAACATGCTGAGTCTCCCTGTTGGTATTAATACTGCTAACATGCTGAGTCTCCCTGTCTGTTGGTATTAATACTGCTAACATGCTGAGTCTCCCTGTCTGTTGGTATAAATACTGCTAACATACTGAGTCTCCCTGTCTGTTGGTATTACTACTGCTAACATGCTGAGTCTACCTGTTGGTATTAATACTGCTAACATGCTGAGTCTCCCTGTCTGTTGGTATTACTACTGCTAACATGCTGAGTCTCCCTGTTGGTATTAATACTGCTAACATGCTGAGTCTCCCTGTCTGTTGGTATTAATACTGCTAACATGCTGAGTCTCCCTGTCTGTTGGTATAAATACTGCTAACATGCTGAGTCTCCCTGTCTGTTGGTGTTAATACTGCTAACATGCTGAGTCTCCCTGTCTGTTGGTGTTAATACTGCTAACATGCTGAGTCTCCCTGTTGGTATTAATACTGCTAACATGCTGAGTCTCCCTGTCTGTTGGTATTAATACTGCTAACATGCTGAGTCTCCCTGTCTGTTGGTATAAATACTGCTAACATACTGAGTCTCCCTGTCTGTTGGTATTAATACTGCTAACATACTGAGTCTCCCTGTCTGTTGGTATTAATACTGCTAAGATGCTGCGTCTCCCTGTCTGTTGGTATTAATACTGCTAAGATGCTGCGTCTCCCTGTCTGTTGGTATTAATACTGCTAACATGCTGAGTCTCCCTGTCTGTTGGTATTAATACTGCTAACATGCAGTCATCCCTGTGTCTGTTGGTATCGGTGGTATCTCTCCCATACCCATGGAACTACAGCCTGCAGTCTCTGCTCAGTCTCAGGTCCTGTCCAGAAACAGCCCCGATCCCCCAGATCTGAATTAGTTAGAAAAGTAAGCTACAGTGGGGGAAAAAAGTATTTAGTCAGCCACCAATTGTGCAAGTTCTCCCACTTAAAAAGATGAGAGAGGCCTGTAATTTTCATCATAGGTACAAGTCAACTATGACAGACAAAATGAGAAAAAAAAATCCAGAAAATCACATTGTAGGATTTTTTATGAATTTATTTGCAAATTATGGTGGAAAATAAGTATTTGGTCAATAACAAAAGTTTCTCAATACTTTGTTATATACCCTTTGTTGGCAATGACACAGGTCAAACGTTTTCTGTAAGTCTTCACAAGGTTTTCACACACTGTTGCTGGTATTTTGGCCCATTCCTCCATGCAGATCTCCTCTAGAGCAGTGATGTTTTGGGGCTGTCGCTGGGCAACACGGACTTTCAACTCCCTCCAAAGATTTTCTATGGGGTTGAGATCTGGAGACTGGCTAGGCCACTCCAGGACCTTGAAATGCTTCTTACGAAGCCACTCCTTCGTTGCCCGGGCGGTGTGTTTGGGATCATTGTCATGCTGAATGACCCAGCCACGTTTCATCTTCAATGCCCTTGCTGATGGAAGGAGGTTTTCACTCAAAATCTCACGATACATGGCCCCATTCATTCTTTCCTTTACACGGATCAGTCGTCCTGGTCCCTTTGCAGAAAAACAGCCCCAAAGCATGATGTTTCCACCCCCATGCTTCACAGTAGGTATGGTGTTCTTTGGATGCAACTCAGCATTCTTTGTCCTCCAAACACAACGAGTTGAGTTTTTACCAAAAAGTTCTATTTTGGTTTCATCTGACCATATGACATTCTCCCAATCCTCTTCTGGATCATCCAAATGCACTCTAGCAAACTTCAGACGGGCCTGGACATGTACTGGCTTAAGCAGGGGGACACGTCTGGCACTGCAGGATTTGAGTCCCTGGCGGCGTAGTGTGTTACTGATGGTAGGCTTTGTTACTTTGGCCCCAGCTCTCTGCAGGTCATTCACTAGGTCCCCCCGTGTGGTTCTGGGATTTTTGCTCACCGTTCTTGTGATCATTTTGACCCCACGGGGTGAGATCTTGCGTGGAGCCCCAGATCGAGGGAGATTATCAGTGGTCTTGTATGTCTTCCATTTCCTAATCATTGCTCCCACAGTTGATTTCTTCAAACCAAGCTGCTTACCTATTGCAGATTCAGTCTTCGCAGCCTGGTTCAGGTCTACAATTTTGTTTCTGGTGTCCTTTGACAGCTCTTTGGTCTTGGCCATAGTGGAGTTTGGAGTGTGACTGTTTGAGGTTGTGGACAGGTGTCTTTTATACTGATAACAAGTTCAAACAGGTGCCATTAATACAGGTAACGAGTGGGGAACAGAGGAGCATCTTAAAGAAGAAGTTACAGGTCTGTGAGAGCCAGAAATCTTGCTTGTTTGTAGGTGACCAAATACTTATTTTCCACCATAATTTGCAAATAAATTCATTAAAAATCCTACAATGTGATTTTCTGGATTTTTTTCTCTCAATTTGTCTGTCATAGTTGACATGTACCTATGATGAAAATTACAGGCCTCTCCCATATTTTTAAGTGGGAGAACTTGCACAATTGGTGGCTGACTAAATACTTTTTTTCCCCCACTGTATATGGACGCAATATGGCAGTAACTCCACTTTTCCCTCTGATAGGTTAGATGGAATGTTAGCCATATTGCTAAGGTTTAGCTATAGCTTTCCTGTCCTCACAGATCCTCGCCAGTATCCTGGGTAAAGCCTAGAGGTTTGTGTTTTGGATAGGGTTTCAGTCTCAGAGCTGTGGTAGCTGTACTGTACTGTACTGAGGGGGTTCAAACCAGGAGGTTTTCTAAGAATTTGCCCAGGAGAGGAGAGGGGGAAAAACAACAGAAGCACTCATGGATGGATAAAATACCCCACATGTTTAGGTGGTTACGTTTTCCCAGACTCTGTACAGCCTGACCCTGTCAGTGTTGACACCACATTCTAGAGTATAGGCCTAGTGTTTGTTTATGAGTAAGTCCCAAATGACACCCTATTCCCTATATAGTGCACTACTTTTGATCAGACATGCCAAACAGTGGTCCTTTGTAGCTCAGTTGATAGAGCATGGCAATGCCAGGGTAGTGGGTTCGATTCCTGGGACCACCCATATGTAAAATACAGTGGCTTGTGAAAGTATTCACCCCCCTTGACATTTTTCCTATTTTGTTGCCTTACAACCTGGAATTAAAATAGATTTTTGGGGGGTTTGTATCATTTGATTTACACAACATGCCTACCATTTTGAAGATGCTAAATATTTTGTTATTGTGAAACAAACAAGAAATAAGACAAAAAAACAGAGAACTTGAGCGTGCATAACTATTCAACCTGCCACCCCAAAGTCAATACTTTGTAGAGCCACCTTTTGCAGCAATTACAGCTGCAAGTCTCTTGGGGTATGTCTCTATAAGCTTGCCACATCTAGCCACTGGGATATTTGCCCATTCTTCAAGGCAAAACTGCTCCAGCTCCTTCAAGTTGAAGGGTTCCGCTGGTGTACAGCAATCTTTAAGTCATACCACAGATTCTCAATTGGATTGAGGTCTGGGCTTTGACTAGGCCATTCCAAGACATTTAAATGTTTCCTCTTAAACCACTCGAGTGTTGCTTTAGCAGTATGCTTAGGGTCATTGTCCTGCTGGAAGGTGAACCTCCGTCCCAGTCGCAAATCTCTGGAAGACTGAAACCGGTTTCCCTCAAGAATTTCCCTATATTTAGCGCCATCCATCATTCCTTCAATTCTGACCAGTTTCCCAGTCCCTGCCGATGGAAAACATCCCCACAGCACGATGCTGCCACCACCATGCTTCACTGTGGGGATGGTGTTCTGGGGGTGATGAGAGGTTTTGGGTTTGCGCCAGACATAGCGTTTTCCTTGATGGCCAAAAAGCTCAATTTTAGTCTCATCTGACCAGAGTACCTTCTTCCATATGTTTGGGGAGTCTCCCACATCCCTTTTGGCGAACACCAAACGTGTTTGCTTATTCTTTACTTTAAGCAATGTTTTTTTTCTGGCCACTCTTCCGTAAAGCCCAGCTCTGTGGAGTGTACTGCTTAAAGTGGTCCTATGGACAGATACTCCAATCTCCGCTGTGGAGCTTTGCAGCTCCTTCAGGGTTATCTTTGGTCTCCTTGTTGCCTGTCTGATTAATGCCCTCCTTGCCTGGTCTGTGAGTTTTGGTGGGCGGCCCTGTCTTGGCAGGTTTGTTGTGCTGCCATATTCTTTCCATTGTTTAATAATGGATTTAATGGTGCTCCGTGGGATGTTCAAAGTTTCAGATTTTTTTATAACCCAACCCTGATCTGTACTTCTCCACAACTTTGTCCCTGACTTGTTTGGAGAGCTCCTTGGTCTTCACGGTGCCGCTTGCTTGGTGGTGCCCCTTGCTTAGTGGTGTTGCAGACTCTGGGGCCTTTCAGAACATGTGTATATATACTGAGATCATGTGACACTTAGATTGCACACAGGTGGACTTTATTTAACTAATTATGTGACTTCTGAAGGTAATTGGTTGCACCAGATCTTATTTAGGGGCTTCATAGCAAAGGGGGTGAATACATATGCACGCACCACTTTTCCGTTATTTATTTTTTAGAATTTTTTTTAACAAGTTATTTTTTTAATTTCACTTCACCAATTTGGACTATTTGGTGTATGTCCATTACATGAAATCCAAATAAAAATCCATTTAAATTACAGGTTGTAATGCAACAAAATAGGAAAAACACCAAGGGGGATGAATACTTTTGAAAGGCACTGTATACGCACTCATGACTGTAAGTCGCTTTGGATAAAAGCGTCTGCTAAATGGCATATGTTAATACATTATTTTATAGCACTAACAGATCTTGGACCAGGCTAACATATCTGGCTACCAAATTAGTATACCATGCCCTATACTCATGCACATGAACCAACCCTTCTAATTCAATTCAATGGAGCCACCTGACTGAATGAATGGCATGGAAAGTCTGCATTCATTCAGCTCTAGCATGGCATTGGCCTTTGTCATGACATATGAGTCAGGGGCCATGCAGGACCATTCTAGTTGCATTACATCTATGACCAGACATACAGTAAGTTCTGTTTTATGTCTATGGTCAGACAGTAAGTTCTAGTTGCTTTACATCTATGGCCAGACAGATGATAGACTGATAAACTGCCACATGGGACAAGAGAAAGTGCTATGCTACAATCCAGGAGTCCAGACCTTTCAGCTAGGCCTATCTGTATATATTACTGGACTGTATTACTAGGTTGTATCTAGCACATAGTGTGGGTCAGCAAGTCTGGACATATAGACTGAATACAGACTGGACTGAGGTCTGAATATAGCTTTAAGACTGAGACAGTACCTCAGCAGGTCTGATAAAGCTTTATGACAGAGACGGTACCTCAGGTCTGATGGAGCTTTATGACCTCAGCAGGTCTGATGGAGCTTTATGACCTCAGCAGGTCTGATAGAGCTTTATGACCTCAGCAGGTGTTTATCATTAGAGGATACAGAAGGCTCCTAAAGGCCTGCTGCTGTTCCATGTGTTCTGAAACGGGTGAGGGGTCAAGGGGTCTGGAGACAGGATATTATGAGTTAAGAGACTAGGTGTGTTCAGACATGTTCCACTGACCACACAGGATAGGCCTAGGTCTGAATGTCCAGGTGATGTTACTCCCAGACATTAGTACCACAATTGATCATAAAACAACAGTCTCTCCCGTGTGTCCTCCAGCTACCATGAGGAGCTGGTGGAGTTGCAGGAGAGACCGTGTGGTAGTGCGTGTGTGTTCCTGTGTGTGGCTGTGTGTAACAGTCCTCTCTCTCCCATGTGTCCTCCAGTTACCATGAGGCCCAGGAGGAGTTGCTGGAGTTCCAGGAAGGGAGCAGAGAGCTGGAGGCAGAGTTAGAGGCTCAGCTAGGACAGGCTGAACACCGCCTCAGAGACCTGCACACAGAGAACCAAAGACTGAAGAGCGAGTTGGACAACCTCAAGGTAAATGTTGTACCTCTTGGTGTTGGAATTGAAGAAATATGTGAAACGGTTGGGGATTCAGTTCAGCAAACACTGTTCCTGAGGATTCGGTTTAGCAAACACTGTTCCTGAGGATTCGGTTTGGCAAACACTGTTCCTGAGGATTCGGTTTGGCGAACACTGTTCTTGAGGATTCGGTTTAGAAAACACTGGATTACAGTTACAGAATATCAGTTAATGTCACCCATTCACCAGGGACTGGAAACAGGGCTCAACAACCACATCTGGATGTCAGAAGTAAGAGTAAAGCCACCCTCCTGGATGCCCCTGCTGCTTGCCAGAGAGAACGAGAGAGAGAGTGCTGCATGTGTTGGCTGGCTGTCCAGCAGTTCCATGCTCTGGCCTTGGCCTAATCCCCAGGCCGTTCAGCAGTACACTGTAATAGGATGGCAGCAGGATCAACAGGAGAAAATAGACAACTAGAGGGATGTTTAACCCACACTGCTAATGCTAGCCAGCTATATCACTGGTTATATCACTAATGCTAGCCAGGTATATCACTGGTTATATCACTAATGCTAGCCAGGTATATCACTGGTTATATCACTAATGCTAGCCAGGTATATCACTGACCAGGATGTATATCGCTGAGATAAAAGAACACAGAGCTATGGTTAACATAATGCTAACCAGGATGTATATCACAGAGATCATAGAACATGATGCTAACCAGGATGTATATCACTGAGATAAAATAACACACAGAGCTATTGTTAACATGATGCTAACCAGGATGTATATCACTGAGATAATAGAACATGATGCTAACCAGGATGTATATCACTGAGATAATAGAACATGATGCTAACCAGGATGTATATCACTGAGATAATAGAACATGATGCTAACCAGGATGTATATCACTGAGATAATAGAACACATGCTTCTTAATGACGAGGTGCTGTCTTTCATGACCATTTTCTTCCGTCCGTGGGATAACCATATTCATGTGTGGTAGACAGACAGCCGTTGTGTTAGACTACATATGGCAGCAACATGTGAATGTGCAGTAGACTAGAGAAGCTAATGTCTTAGAGCTAAAGTTCTGTGAATGGGCCTGGAAGGACTGGGATTCATGTGAGGGGGCTGTAGACTAGAGAAGGTAATGTCCTAGAGCTAAAGTTCTGTGAATGGGCCTGGGAGGACTGTGGGATTCATGTGAGGGGGCTGTAGCTTGTTCTCCTGAATGATGGGCCTGTCTTGAGCTGAGGCATGTAGCTAGGCTAGCTGTGCTGTTGACCCAGACCTCAGGCTGGCCTGATTCTGACACCTATGAGCCATACTTCACCCCTCGCCAGAGAACAAAGGAGTTGAAGGGAGTTCTAGAGTCTATGAACACTATGAGAAAGAATGTTAACTAGCAGTCTGTTTGTGTTGGCATTAAGAAAGTTGGCATGTCAACACTCTCCCTTCCTGTCACCTCAGTCTTTAATGCAACCATCTCCACACGCACTCATTCTCTCTCCCCCTCTCTCTCTCCCCCCCGTAGGAGAAATTGGAGCAGCAGTATGCTCAGAGTTATAAGCAGGTCTCCATGTTAGAGGATGACCTGGGACAGACCAGAGGAATCAAGGAGCACCTTCATAAATACGTCAGAGAACTGGAGCAGGCCAACGATGACCTGGAGAGAGCCAAGAGGTCACTATATACCATAGTAGAACTAAACTAACCTTACTAACGCAGCCATTCAAATGTTTTACTTGACTTCAAGCCTAGGTTGTAGGCTAAGTGGATTTAACTTTTGTGTTGTTAACTAAATGAAAGCATGTTGACTGGTAGCTGTGTCTCAGTATTCAGAGAGTGTCTCCACTTAGTGTTAACCCAGTTATCCAACCCACACAGATACTGTACATTTTTCAGCAGCTTCTGCTACTAACAGTTGTCCACCCCAACCCCTCTCCCCCCTCCTCCTCTCCCCCCTCCTCCTCCCTCCCCCTCTCCTCCCTCCCTCAGGGCGACCATTGTATCTCTGGAGGACTTTGAGGGTCGTCTGAACCAGGCCATAGAGAGGAATGCCTTCCTGGAGGGTGAGCTGGACGAGAAGGAGAACCTACTGGAGTCAGTTCAGAGACTGAAGGATGAAGCCAGAGGTATGAAGACATTAAACACCTAGCTTACCTCTATCCCCGACCTACCCTTTCTGTTATGTGTAATACTGCTGTATTAAGTCAGCTGGATCAGAAGGAGAACCTACTGGTCTCAGTTCAGAGACTGAAGGATGAAGCCAGAGGTACGGACGGGGACAACCCCTAACTGTACCCTTCCTTCCCCTAACTCCCTGTCCCCTACTAATCAAGGGCTTGATGATTAGTTGACCAGTTGAATCAGATGTACTGATAGGACTGGAATATATGAAATAAGTGGAACTGTCTGGCTGGTACTTGAGGAGAGGGTTGGGAAACACTGCCCTATCCATTTGGTTGAATCATGTCTGTATTGGTGTGTCTGATGCCCCAGCCCTGAGACAGGAGCTGGCGGTGAGGGAGAGGACTCCAAACAGAATGTCATGTCTGTAATCATGTCAGTATTGGTGCTTGTATCTCATTTCTGTCTATCTGTCCCCCCCCCCCCCCAGACCTGAGACAGGAGATGGCAGTGAGGGAGAGGACTACAGACAGGTTGTCAGCCCCCAGCTCTCCTACCCTGGACATCGACAAGATGGACTCTGCTGTCCAGGCCTCCCTGTCCCTGCCTGCCACCCCTGTAGGGAAGGGAATGGAACACCCCTTCCTCAACCCTAAATCATCAGGTAGGTCAACAGCCATGTCTTCTAACAGACCTGGGTGGAAATAGTATTAGTTTTCTTTCAAATACTTTACATGTGCTTTATTGAGCTTGCCAGGTGCAATGGAACCAATGGAAGAGTCTCAAAAGTCACTCCAGGCAGTCTCAATTAAATGCTCAAAATGTTTTGAAAGTATATAAAAACTATTTGAACCCAGGTCTGTTTTTTTAGTTCCTTAACTTTTGGAGCTGTACCTCCATGTGAAACAGTTTCTATGTCTCTGTCATATGCTAAATACTGTCTCTTTGAACCCAGGTCTTTACCTCCATGTGAAACAGTTTCTATGTCTCTGTCATATGCTAAATACTGTCTCTTCCCTCTCTCTCTCCCCTCTCCCTCTCTCTCCCCTCTCTCTCCTCTCTCTCTCTCCTCTCTCTCGCTCCCCTCTCCTCTCTCTCTCTCTCTCTCTCTCTCTCTCTCCTCTCTCCTCTCTCCTCTCTGTCTCTATCTTTCTCTCTCTGGCTCTCTCTGTCTCTGTCTCTATGGTTCTCTATGGCTCTCTCTATGGCTCTCTCTGTCTCTCTCTCCTCTCTCACCTCTCTCTCTCTCTCCCCTCTCTCTCTCACCTCTCTCTCTCTCTCCCCTCTCTCACTCTCTCCCCTCTCATCTCTCTCTTTCTCTCTACAGTGTTAACAAATGGCTGTGGGCATGGTAGCTCACCTCTGACCCCATCAGCAAGAATCTCTGCTCTTAATATCGTTGGGGACCTACTTAGAAAAGTGGGGGTAAATATCAGACCTTTGTTTCTTGTAGCAATGTTTTCCAATGCCAGTGTTATGCATCCACCCTCTATGAAGCTAATGTTGGCGACAAAACATTATGAACACTCTTCTTGAGTGAACCCGACAGTTTGGCTTCCATCTCTTCTCTTGACTTGACAGCAGAGTATATTGGAAATATATCCTGAATTAAAGGTTAAAGGTTACAACAGAATCCACAGCTTGTGATTAGACTAATGTAGGCCATGTTTTTCTGTCGTTAGGCGCTGGAGTCCAAGCTAGCTGCATGTAGGAACTTTGCCAAGGACCAGGCAGTGAGGAAAACCTACTCCACGTCATCCACCAACATGATCACTGGGAACGGAAACCTCATCAACAGCAACGCCACCAAGTTCTCCCACTCACTACACACCACCTACTACGACAAAACGTGAGTTCTGTCTCTCTCAGGATTATTCCCACTGTTCCATCTATCTCTCGGAGTTGCTCTCTCTCTCTCAGGAGTATTCCCACTGTTCCATCTATCTCTCTGAGTTGCTCTCTCTCTCAGGAGTATTCCCACTGTTCCATCTATCTCTCTGAGTTGCTCTCTCTCTCAGGAGTATTCCCACTGTTCCATCTATCTCTCTGAGTTGCTCTCTCTCTCAGGAGGATTCCCACTGTTCCATCGATCTCTCTGAGTTGCTCTCTCTCTCAGGAGTATTCACACTGTTCCATCTATCTCTCTGCTTGACTTCCTGTCTGCAGTGTTAGTGTGACTCACTCAGAGAGTATAAGAAGTGAGAGGCTGAATGGACTCTAGCTCTATATCATTTTTAACCAGAGTTGGTCTAACCAGAGTATGTAGACACACCAATACAGACAGAGAATACCCAAATAGCTTTCTATTTGATATTGTGAATGAACTAACCTCTGTGAATGAACTAACCTCTGTTTTTCTGTGTCTGTGTTCCATGTCTGTGGTGTTCATATGTCTGGTGTTGTCCCCCACAGGGCTGTGAATGGACTGGACCACAGCACCCTGACTGCCCTGGCATCGCCCCGGACTGTCTCCCCTCCTGGCATGCTGCCTCTCACCGTTTAGCGTGGCACCACCCCCAACCTCTGTACAAGCTCACCACAGAACAAGGGTACCCCTCATACTCCACCCCAACCTCACCCCAATCTCTGCCCAAGCTCCTGTGCGCCCCGCAGAACAATGAGAGGAGAGAACACTTGAAGAACCGTTAGTGTGTGTGTGTGTGTGTTCGAAAGCTCGTATGTGTTTTAAGAGTTGATTTGTGAGTGTGTGTAGGAGAGACACTTGACTGAGTGATTGAAAAGGCCTCACTCACCTATGGGTAGGGTTGGATGCTGAGTGTGTCTGTATTTAACACACACAGGCACATGCCTCTGCCTGAGCTGGTCTTTGCTCATGTGTTGGTGACCTCTATGCTCTGGAGTGGCTCCACAGTTTCTCAGTTTCACTCTATAACAGCAACTGTACCTGACAAGGTCCCCAACGGACCGCAGCTTCCTTCCTCTTAACCTTTCTTTTCTTGTCTGAATGAATTGCACAATTACAAATAATTTATATTTAGAATGTTGTATTTAAAAATGAAAAGGGACTTTTCCTGTTTGTTTGTGTTTATGTTATGGGGTCAGATGGAGTTGATGACCCTTAACCCCCATATCCAGAAGAATGACTGAATTCATGTTTACTGTGTTCAGGCTGTGATCAGAACCATGTTCTCTTATCGGGCTGCATCTCAATAGTCCAGTTAGTAGCATCCTCTCCTCATCTCAATAGTCCAGTTAGAATAGGAGAGAATGAGAGAACAGGACCGGTGAAAGCAATATGGATGATCTCTATCTCTACCAGAAATTAGCTTTCACTTGTTCAATTTCCTTCCCATCAGTGCAGATGAGAGAAAGGAGAGAAAATGACTTTATAGTATTGAGATGCACCCCCATGTCCCTATTGTCCTGGGTTTGGGCTGACCAGACAGAACCGACCAGTCAGCTGGTGGACCGTCTGTAGTCTGGTAGGGAGGGAGGACCCTCCATGTTAAACAGCCTGGAAGCATCAGCTGCTGTCCTCTTCATTAATGAATAATACAGTTAGGTCCGCTTCACCACATAGACTGCAATGTCCTAATGGCACCCTATTCACTATATAGTGCACTCCTTTTGACCAGGGACCATGGGGCTCTAGTCAAAAGTAGTGCACTACATAGGGAATAGGGTGCCATTTGGGACCCAGACTGCAAAGTCCTTACTTCTTTATATAAGCCTTGGATTGAAGGCCAGTGATGTTCAGGGAAAGACTTGCTTTCTGTATTTACATGTGGTTGGTACCATGTTTAATTAAATGCATCCCCTTCCCCTATTCTGATGCGTAACTAGTATCAGACAGAACTGTTGCTTATAGAAACAAAGAAGTCAACCCTGAGCACAGCAGTGCGTCAGACAAAAGCGTTACTTATTCACATTGATATATAAACTGTACTGTGCACCTGCTGGTGGTCGAGTCTTATCCAGCTAACATCCTGTCTACCATAACCTGCAGAACAGAATATCCAGCAACAATAACCCAGCAGTCCAAGCATCTAACAGGTATAGGGTGAAGTTGCCTTAGATGCTGACCCAGGGTCCGTTTTTCATTTACCTCACTAATGGTTAAGGTTAGGATTGGGGGAGGGGAAGCTGATCTTAGATCTGTACCTAGGGGAAACCTCACCCCGGAGCTATCTAACAGTGGGTCACGCTCATCCCTTTTTCTAGACTAGATACTAGCCTGGTTAAACCAGACTGAATGCTGTGTTCACCATGAGGAGAGCGCTCAGTCTAGTTTTAACCAGGCTATAAATGCTTTTTCTAGACTAGATACTAGCCTGGTTAAACCAGACTGAATGCTGTGTTCACCATGAGGAGAGCGCTCAGTCTAGTTTTAACCAGGCTATAAATGCTTTTTCTAGACTAGATACTAGCCTGGTTAAACCAGACTGAATGCTGTGTTCACCATGAGGGGAGCGCTCAGTCTAGTTTTAATCAGGCTATAAATGCTAATCTTTTGACTGATATGTAAATTGCTATTGGTCCACTAATTGTGACCATTTTGTCACGTTGGCTCCTGACCTGTCGATGAAACGTTTGTAATAGTGTGTGAACCTCCTCATCTCAGAATGACATGCCTCTTCCTCGTTCTCTTGTTGATATTCACTGTTTTGATTTATTTTACATCCCCATTCTGCCTGTCTGTCTGTCTGCCTGTGTCTGTCTGTCTGCCTTTCTTTATCTGGGATTAATAGTGCTCCCTCCTATCACAGCCTTAAATGAAAAGCCTTAAGGCCAGTTTCCCGGACACAGATTAAAGCTGCAATATGTAGCTTTTTGGGTGATTTGACCAAATTCACATAGAAATGTTATAGATCTGTTATTTTCATTGAAAGCAAGTCTAAGAAGGTTATTTTTCTATGCTTCCCGTTTTTATAGTTTTGTTTTTGGGTCTTTTACTTTCGTTTTTGTACACCAGCTTCAAACAGCTGAAAATACAATAGTTTGGGTTATAGAAAATATATTTCACAGCAGTTTAGATGCTACAATGATTCTCTACACTATACTTGCTTGTTTTGTCATATAAACTGAAATTAGGCTAACTATTTTAATTTTAGCAACCAGGAGATGGCGGAGAGATTTCTGCGTAGTGCATCTTTTAAGCCTAGTCCTGGACAAAAAAAATACTTTCAATGGAGATTCTCCATTGAGAATGATTTTGAATCCAGGACTAGGCCTAATCTGTGTCTGGGAAACTGGCCCTAAAACTATCCCACCTCTTCCAGATTCTAGAACTATCATTTGGAGCTCTTTCTCACTCCCATCGTCTATGATGTCACCCACCTTTACCACATCATTCTGAGCTCTATGTCGACCTGTTGCTATGTCCCCATGTACAGTGGGGAAAAAAAGTATTTAGTCAGCCACCAATTGTGCAAGTTCTCCCACTTAAAAAGATGAGAGAGGCCTGTAATTTTCATCATAGGTACACGTCAACTATGTCAGACAAATTAAGAAAAAAAAATCCAGAAAATCACATTGTAGGATTTTTAATGAATTTATTTGCAAATTATGGTGGAAAATAAGTATTTGGTCACCTACAAACAAGCAAGATTTCTGGCTCTCACAGACCTGTAACTTCTTCTTTAAGAGGCTCCTCTGTCCTCCACTCGTTACCTGTATTAATGGCACCTGTTTGAACTTGTTATCAGTATTAAAGACACCTGTCCACAACCTCAAACAGTCACACTCCAAACTCCACTATGGCCAAGACCAAAGAGCTGTCAAAGGACACCAGAAACAAAATTGTAGACCTGCACCAGGCTGGGAAGACTGAATCTGCAATAGGTAAGCAGCTTGGTTTGAAGAAATCAACTGTGGGAGCAAGCATTAGGAAATGGAAGACATACAAGACCACTGATAATCTCCCTCGATCTGGGGCTCCACGCAAGATCTCACCCCGTGGGATCAAAATGATCACAAGAACGGTGAGCAAAAATCCCAGAACCACACGGGGGGACCTAGTGAATGACCTGCAGAGAGCTGGGACCAAAGTAACAGCCTACCATCAGTAACACACTACGCCGCCAGGGACTCAAATCCTGCAGTGCGAGACGTGTCCCCCTGCTTAAGCCAGTACATGTCCAGGCCCGTCTGAAATTTGCTAGAGTGCATTTGGATGATCCAGAAGAGGATTGGGAGAATGTCATATGGTCAGATGAAACCAAAATATAACTTTTTGGTAAAAACACAACTCGTCGTGTTTGGAGGACAAAGAATGCTGAGCTGCATCCAAAGAACACCATACCTACTGTGAAGCATGGGGGTGGAAACATCATGCTTTGGGGCTGTTTTTCTGCAAATGGACCAGGACAACTGATCCGTGTAAAGGAAAGAATGAATGGGGCCATGTATCGTTAGATTTTGAGTGAAAACCTCCTTCCATCAGCAAGGCATTGAAGATGAAACATGGCTGGGTCTTTCAGCATGACAATGATCCCAAACACACCGCCCGGGCAACGAAGGAGTGGCTTCGTAAGAAGCATTTCAAGGTCCTGGAGTGGCCTAGCCAGTCTCCAGATCTCAACCCCATAGAAAATCTTTGGAGGGAGTTGAAAGTCCGTGTTGCCCAGCGACAGCTCCAAAACATCACTACTCTAGAGGAGATCTGCATGGAGGAATGGGCCAAAATACCAGCAACAGTGTGTGAAAACCTTGTGAAGACTTACAGAAAACGTTTGACCTGTGTCATTGCCAACAAAGGGTATATAACAAAGTATTGAGAAACTTTTGTTATTGACCAAATACTTATTTTCCACCATAATTTGCAAATAAATTCATTGAAAATCCTACAATGTGATTTTCTGGAAATTTTTTTCTCATTTTGTCTGTCATAGTTGACGTGTACCTATGATGAAAATTACAGGCCTCTCTCATCTTTTTAAGTCGGAGAACTTGCACAATTGGTGGCTGACTAAATACATTTTTTCCCCACTGTATATACGTTTGTAACTAAGCATTGTAACTTTGCCTAACAACACATTTGTACATAGCAACGTTTGGCATTATTACAGTTTTATTTATTTCAGATTTCTTTATGGCATGTGTTTCAAAATGAAGAACCTGAGTTTTACTGTTGTACATCAGTCCAAGATCATATATCATGATGATGTGCAATTGGTTGTCCAATCTATTTGATTAAATAAAATCAAAATAAAGATATTGAAAAATAAGTATTGAAATATCAACTTTATTTGTGTTGCACATTCCATGATGCAGCTTACGTCTTATGAAAAAGTTCAAACCTAAAGCTATTGGTGTAACGGGAATGTTTTTCTGACTTCTTGGTTAAGATACAGTAACATTGAGCAGTTCATTCATAGAGGACAGAAAGGCCCATATTATTGGATTTAGCCTCTGTTATTGGCTACAGACACACTTGCTGTCTGACCCAGACCATTGGGCTGCTCTCTTTCCAGATGGACACACCCCCAAAACACATACTGTACAGATCAGCTAAACACAGTGGGACAATTGTCAAAAAATATATAAATTGAAATGTCGAATACTGTCGGCACAGTTATCAAATAAAACGTTATTGTCTCGCTCTCTCTCAGGTTGCTGTAGGCTCCTCTTGTTGTCATGTTGAAATTTGTACTCTGGTGAAATTATGTCTTTTTTTTTTTACAAGCAGAGGAGCGACGCAGTTAAA